GAAACTCGACTGACTCTCAAACAAACTGTCGTGACAACTGTTGGACCAGATCCTTCATCCTCTTCCTCTGTTTGTTGCTGGTCCTCTGACCTCTGCCAAACAACCAATCAACACACGCACACACACATTCGACACACACACATGCAATCTTGGAGGGTAACCAGTGAGGGGAAAAGTAAGTTGAGGAATGTCTGAGTTTGAAATAACAGTCATCAATGGTGCCACACTGTTTACCGTGTGTGTGTGTGTGTTTGTGTGTGTGTGTGTGTGTCTGTCTGTATTATATTTTTTACTGTGCACATTTACTTACATCTGCTTCTGTTTGTATATGCATTCCACCATTTACGTGTTGTGTGTGTGTGTGTGTGTTGCGGTCTGAGTTTACCTTGTCTTGTGTTTGTCCAGTTTACACCCCACACTGGACCTGGCTGGTAAACTGGTGGCTGTGGTTGAGAACAGATGTGGACAGGAATGTCACTGTGTGTTAGTGTGTCTGAAACTACAGTATTTAACTGCAAAGATTTACAAACCAAATTTCCTGAAAGGTTGGTATCTTTATTTACCTGGTCTTTAATTTGACAGATGTTTGAAACAACATCCCAGTGTTTTCACTGACAAACTTTATTATTTCTGTTTGATAAGGAAAGGAAGGGAAGGAAGGAAGGAAGGAAGGAAGGAAGGAAGGAAGGAAGGAAGGAAGGAAGGAAGGAAGGAAAGTGAACTATGTGTCATTGTGACACAGCACACCACTGGACACAACCAAATGTGACCTCACCAAAGTCAGCGGGGGGCAGCTTAAGCCCCCGGGTGCCATGCTCAGAGCACTTCCGTGGTAACTTGGCAGGTGGTGTAGTCAAACCTGAAACCTCCTAGACCCAAGTCCACTTCCTGGACCACCATCCACCACTGCCCCCAATTAACTGAACATGTCATACTCAGTCAGCAGAAAAACATCAGCTGACAGGTGTGTGTTGACATGAGGTGGAGGTTGAGTCGACAACACACACTCTTCAAACACACCTTCAGTTAGGATTGAACCAAACTTATCACATCTGTATTATCACATCTGTGTTAGCGTCAGTGCTCTTTATAGCACGCGTCTGTGAAAACTAATCCTGAAAACAAACTCCAGTGGAGGTCAACATGTCACTGTCTGTGACCCCCCCACCCTGTAGACCAGACCTGTAGACACTGACTCAGGTGAGGTCAGCTCCAAGAAATGGTCTCCATGACATCAGCAGATCGCACTCCTCTTCCAGGAATATGGTGTGTGTGTGTGTGTGTGTGTGTGTGTGTGTTCCAGTGGATGCGGTCAGATTGACAGGCTCTGTTACAGGATGTTTTCTCTCATCACTCTGACTCATATAAACTGGAGAAAGTTTTTTTTTTTTGTCTTTTTAACAAGGTGAGCTACCCTGTGATTTACACCTGTTGTTGCCATGGCACCTGCCTTGTTTACTGCTTGATGTTGTTTAATAGCTTGTCTGCCTCTTTGTCTGTGTGTGAACAACTGCTGAGAGACTGATTTGGGGAAATGCATATAAATATCCTGGAAGTGTCACGGCAGCAGAGGCTGTTAGCCCTCAGGGGTTTGACATTATTATATAGCATAAATACAAAGTGATACTTAAGAAATCGTCTGGTTCTTTTACCTTATTGTTATTAACTGTGGATTTAGAGCAGCATAAACCTGTTAACCCGTGTTTTATTTTTGATATCCCACAAGTCTATGCTTCCCTTACTTCAGTGACTGTGGTGCCGAAATTCCACAACAGAGAGGAATGTCTCTGTTGTTCTTTGGTCTTTGTGGCGGCTTTGAGGTCACTGCCCCGCTGCAGTGTGAATCCTGAGGCTGTAACTACAGACTCCAGAGTAGATAAATGACAGACAACAAACTCTGAGGGTCAGGAAAATGAAGCTTTCAAAAGAGCAGTGGTGACGTGGTGTAGAATAATTTATTGGCCACTGTGTGACAAAACCGCCGGCATCACAGTTGTGAGCCAGATGTTGGATATTTTGGAGTAGTGATTGGATTGTTTTGTATCAGGATAATCAGGACATGAGAAACGTAACCGTTCCAGGACCAGTAGAAACTGTCAGATCAAACCAGGTGTATGTCGATAATTCTGATGAATGTGTTTTAACTGCAGACAGAGAATCTGGAACAAAAAGTAGAGCTTAATGAGAAAGTCAAACATTTAATTACTACTATATTTACTATATTTTTTAAAACATTATGAGGGTTTACTTAGGCAAGAAAAAGGTGTAAAAAACATGAATCACTGCACCTGATTCATGGATGGGGTAAATGCACAATAAACAATCAGTAATGGTGCTTCTTTAACTCTGGTCTGGACTTCCATCCAGCACCACAGTATGAATATCTACTGTAGGGTAACTTATGGCTCATTGTATTTGTGAAACGGAGGGAAAGGGTTTGTTTAAGCAGAATAATGGTGAAGTTCAGAGTTATTCCTTTACTTTGGCTCAGTGTTCGTCTCATTAATGCAACTCTTTAAAATAAATACTCCAAGATCTGTAACAGGTTCAAACTCTCTTCCTCCTTCCCTTCACTGACTGACCTTATTTCCCCTTCTGAGGAAGGTTTTTAAAAGTCGTCCAGTCTACAGTTAGGTCCATTTTTAACAGTAACTATAACTGATTGGAGTCTTGTGTTTGTTATTAAGCAGATAAAACTGTTCCTCTGTGTGTGTCCCTGTCAGGTTTATTTAATTATGGTCAGGTGACACTCTGGGGCCTTGAGATTAATTAAAACAATGAAAGGAAAATAAAACAAAATATGGTAAAAGGTGATTAAAGCTAGCTATTCGAATACTATACTGGAACTGCCATGTTTAAATAAAGCGGTTAAACTAACAATGTATTGTTATCTTTGTCTTATTATTCCATGAGAAAATATCCGTGATAACAAAACGACAAACGGGTCAACAGTACCATGCCGCACCGAAAGAGGACAGACGAGAGCCCGGCGCCTGCTAAACGCTGCTGTTCTTCTACTCGGAGCGTTTTCAGGAAGTCAATAGATTGCTGCGGGCGATAGTTGATTTATTTTTATTTATTTATCTGTGGTTTTATTGTTTTAACCCCTTCTTGTCAATCAGAGTGCTGCACCAGAAATAAAAAATGACGACTACGGTAATAATTATGTTGGTAAGTATGTCCAATGGTGCCCGGAGGCTTAAACTAACTCAAAATAGGGAGGCACTTTACGAAAAGTGCTGGAGAAGAACACGAGCAATTAACTTTATTTACAGATAAAGGTAAGACTATTAAAACAGCATGCTAAAATTCCGTCCCGTCTTCTGTACACCACCGTAAACTGTGACAGTCGTTTTACTTTTTTACACTTTTGCCAAAGTGTAAAAAAAAGCATTTCGCTAGTTTTTTATTTATTTGTAAATCGGACTGTAAGAACTCATTGCTTCACCGCAATCAACGGAGGACGAACCTGGCGAAGTCTCGGGAGAACATGCTTACTGATATAAAAATTAATATCAATTATTAATAATTATATCATTAAATTCCGTTCGTGAGCTTGGCGTGAACCACTGACTTCGTTGCAATCGATCCCCGGCTGGAATCAATTATTAGGCTACAAAGTCAATAAAATACTCATTAAACCAGATGGAGTGGGTTCTTCACACACTTATCTATTTCCATTTTTTTTCTTTTTGTCTCTCTGATGGTTTTTGGAACTCCCTCTACTTGGAGCCCAGCAGCCTCTGCCCCTGGATCTCATCTCCAAATGAAGATTCGCATCTCTCAGCCAGAGCGTCCCGACATGTTCGCCTGAACCCGGCAGCCTCTACGCCGCCTGGACACTCACCGTACGGAGACTTTTGCGTCCGTTTTTTTCCTTTCATTTATTTGCGCGCAAACGTTTCCTCACAACTTTTACTGGAAGATTGTGGAAAAACTCCGGGAAATTGTTTCGTGCCGATGCGCCCGGTGTGGCCGGAGACAGCGCTGGAAGGACCGAGAGAGAGCCGGGAGGCAGGAAAGGGGACCAGTGCAGTCTGAAGGGGGACGTACATGTCTCCTGTCTCTCATCACCGAGGTACGGAACACTTCATCAGTTCAGTGTCCTTATGTGTTTGTTTTTTGTTTTTCTTTAAAAAACATTTGAAAATTGTTATTTTGCATTAGCAAAAATACTATGACACAATGCTAAAAATTATTCTCTACACATTACACACACTCAAATCTTCTCTGTTGAAGTGGTCTCAACAGTGACATAAAGTATTCATAAAGATTTACAAGAACCAACAGCTCATCAGTTCTGATTGATCTGAGTATCGATCATTCAAAAGCTTTTTTTGCAGAGTCAAGAATATACTGTGTTGAAGGCTGTATTATTTATAGACCTGAGACCTCAGATTGAACAGGACACTTTCTTCCATCCACCAGTGGATAAACCATCGTTTTAATGTTGATGCCACAAACCAGCCGCTTCAGCTTCACTCTGAGAAGCTTTGTGCAAATTGCGGCCTGTAGATGGCAGGAGTGAGTGAAAGCCAGTTTGTAATGTGAACCTATGAAGTGGGGTGATGGACCAAACACCAGGTCATGGACAGGACTTAAACTGAGTCAGATATAAAACTTGTATAACCAAAATAGAATAATTTAAAATGTTTTCCTGCAGATCTTTATTCTCTGTTTGAATGTGTGTGGTTATCTCCACATCAACATCTTTGCCTCAGATTCGCTGTTTCATTCATTTTTTCTGTATCCCTTCATCTCTGTTTGTTCTGTGTCTTTGTCTCATCACCTAACTCACTCTGTGTCTTTGTCTCATCACCTAACTCACTCTGTGTCTTTGTCTCATCACCTAACTCACTCTGTGTCTTTGTCTCATCACCTAACTCACTCTGTGTCTTTGTCTCATCACCTAACTCACTCTGTGTCTTTGTCTCATCACCTAACTCACTCTGTGTCTTTGTCTCATCACCTAACTCACTCTGTGTCTTTGTCTCATCACCTAACTCACTCTGTGTCTTTGTCTCATCACCTAACTCACTCTGTGTCTTTGTCTCATCACCTCTGTCTCTGTGTCTTTGTCT